AAGCCTGCTCTGCATTTTCTTTGGAGCCATGCTGACAAGCACACCAAGCACCTTCCAAAACCTTCCAAAATGCCACAAAGCACACCACAAGCCTCACTGAACATCTCCTTGCTACCGCGATCTCACCCACAGGAAGCCGCGACCGCGCGGCAGCAGGGAAAATGGCCGCGGATCCGGTTCGTAAGTCGAGGCGAGTTCGTAAGTAGAGGTAAAATTTTGGGGCCGGAGCTGGTCGTATCTCGAAATTTTTGTATGTAGGGGCATTCGTAAGTAGAGGTACCACTGTATATGTATTTGCAATTAACTTAGAGTCAAATCCTGTACACTTCAGTTGTCTATTCATTAGGGCTACTTTTTGAAAAGTTAAATGAGCACCAAATAAATATGAAATATTTTTAAAAAAATAACAAACATAATTGTTTTGGAAATGTTCCATTTTGTAAATCATTTTTTTTTTTTAATCTTGCTCAATTTTTTTTTTTTTAGTATCCATTGCTATGCAGCCTTATATTATAGAATCAGGGCAAGTGTATTTTATTGACTTGTAAAGAGAGCCAGTTTGGTGTATTTTGGTGTAGTGATTAAGGCATCAGGCTAGAAACTGGGAGACCAAGTTTTTGTCCCACCTTAGGCATAAAGCCAGCTGGGTGATCTTGGGCCTGTCACTCTTTCTCAGCCCTAGGAAGGAGGCAATGGCAAACCACTTCCGAAATCTTGCCAAGAAAACTTCAGGACTTGTCCAGGCAGTTTTCAGGAGCCAACACTGACTTGAAGGGGTGGGGGGAGGAAATTCTAGTGCAAGAAGGTAAAAAATGAGGTAAAAACAATCCTGCAGAAGAAGCAACTAACACAGATCAAACAATTTGTCTAGCACAGAAGTATATGTTATTACTGGCAGCAGATCTTTGGCAAAAGTCTTTTCTAATGCTTGCTTTTAATCTTAGATGGCAGAATGAATTCCAATATCAGTTCCAATACCTTCTGCATACAAAGCATGACCACTGAACTATCAGCATAGATAGCTTTCTTTTTCTTCTTTTCATCATCCAGTGCATATCACAGCCTTTAGACCTGGTATTTTCCGGTGATTCAGATTCTAACCAAGAGGCTAGGAATCATGGAGGTATCATTGTAGTACATAGGGAATTCCAAGCAAGATGGGTTTTTTGCAAAGTCAGTGGTGTCAAATCCAGTACATTTAAAACTTCAAAATATTTAGGGAAATCCTTTTTGTTATGACTCCAAGAGCTTCAATTACTATTGGCATTATAGTTGACTTTTTCCTTCCAAAGTATTTCAACTTTAATTTGCAAATCCCAATATTTTGTTGCTTCTTCCATTAGTCTAGACTGTTACCTGAAATACAGCAGTATTGGGGACCCAAAATGGAATTGTAGGCTAGCCCACAGGGGTCCTCCTATGATAATATCTATTGTTGTCTTTCTTAATGTTTTTTATTTGACAAAAGAAAAATATATGTAAATAAATAAATAGTAACAGTAAAATAAATAAGAGCCATGGAAACAGGTATTTATTTTTATTTATAGAGTTGTTAGATTTGTATCCCAGCTTTTCTCAGGAGCTCAAGACAGCATACGTAGCATTCTTGCCTTCAATTTTTTTCCTATGACACCATCCCTGTGAAGTAAATAGGATTGAGTTAGAGTGATTGGTCACAGTCATGTAATGAGCTTCCATGGCTGAGAATGGACTTAAACCTATGTCTTCCCAGTCCAGGTCCAACATCTTAACCGCTGAAGATGCAGCAAGTCTTTCTACTGATTGTTTTCCCATTTCTTTAAAAATATAGATTAAAAAAAATAAAACTAAGTTTCAAAACATTCTATCAAAGGAATTATGTTGTTTCGTGAAGGCATGCTGGAGACTGCTTGTTGAGTGTTCCTCTTGCATTTTCAGTATACTTTGAGAAAGACTGCTTTGATTGCATTAATTTTATATAGAAAGCATTTTATTGCTTGAGAGCACATTTATAGCTCATATGTTTTAACTGATTTGGAATATATACTGAACAGTGGTTAATGATTTGGATCATACTAACATTAGAAGCCCCCTAATGGATAATGATGAGCAAATAGGTTCTAGAAAGGCTAGCTAAGCCAGCCTAATCAAAAACACTTGTAACTGAAATGACAAAGGCTTTGTACAGGAGAACATTCCTAAACTGTTATTATGAACACCCCCCCCCATGTTCTATTGTTTTCAGAATAGTATATATTAAAGTAAATGATAGATTTATTGCAATAGATTGTAATATTTAATCAGGCTTTTTGTAATGGGAATACTTATATATACAGTAAATTATACAATTAATATTGTCATGTAAAAAGATTACTAATTTACTGAAAAAAGAAAAGATCTGAATTTGACTTGCTTAATCTACAGACTTAAAGGATGTTGTGACTCACTGAACCTTGTTGTTATGTTTCAGTTGGTTTCCTTTCCTGACGTTGTAAATGTAAAGTAACCTAAATTAAATGGTACCATCAGTTGGCAGTACAGAAAGAGTTGCCACTTCTGGTGTGATAATAATTCCATCTGCTCTATGATACTAGCCAGTGGAAGCAGATGGTATTGCCCTTTGCAGAAATGTGTTGCAGATTTTCACAATGGAGTGCTTGAATCTACAATTTGTTTTCCATGCCTGCTTGTTTCATAGTAACAAACAGAAAAAGTTACAATATTTCCATATGTCTGTAATTGTTATATCGTTAGTATTGTAGCTTTAGGACTGTCTGCCAGTAGCTGTTGGCACCAGTATGTTCATGCATTTCATCCCATATTAATTTAGCACCGTATAATTTGACAAAAGGGGTTGGCTTAATTGCCCTAGTTAACACTGAACAATTGAAATTCCCCAAGTTCAGAGTTTCTTTTTGCACTTAACTCTCAACTGAATTTTCAAGGGTGAAGCCAACAGCCTGGAAATGTCCTTTGTATATTTCAGTGTTAGTTACCATATGGATTATATTCAACTAAGAGCAATTAATAATGCCATTTTTCAAATATTTGGAAAACATAAGCAAATTATATTTAAAACAATGCATTATTTTGACACAGATTCAAACATTTGTATCTCAGAAGAACCTATTCAGAGTACAAGGCTGACAGAGTTGTTCTTCCTGTGGGCTTTCGTTCAGGAGACAGTGGGGGTAAAAATGACAAACGTTCCTCAGGATACATGACATACATATTTGCATTATTTACTAATTTATTTATATTTCAAATTTGGACACTGCCTATCTCATGAGGAAGTGACTCTGGGTGGTTTACATTAGATGCCAGGACACAAGTATGTAAGATGGGATTTGTATCATGACATTATTGTGCACATGTCATTGTTCTGTTATCACTGTGGTTTGCTGTAGACATCTGCAGTTATTGCCTTTTCTTTGTTCCCCATTTCTAGTTCTCAGCTAACTCCTCTTGCCATGTGATCAACTGCTATGGCCAAACAGTCATTTTCATAGGCTGTCTAGCTACGTGCCAGCAAGCTTCTTACTTTCCTCCCTATTTTTCTGGTTTTCTTTTCCAGATGAATCCTCAACCAGTCTCAGTGCATATACAGTTGGATTTTTTTTTCACTAGAGGTTCCCTCCCCCCCAACTTTTGTGTGGATAATATTGTTTCAATTGCATAAGGACTTTTTTTGAATACAGAACTTAAAAAGATAAGTTTTACATTCAAAGAAAAGCATTGGTTTGGCTTTATTCAGCTTGAAAAGCACTAATTTTAAATTTTATTTACTTTTAGAGAACTAGAGGACGAAAACGAAGCTATCTTCCGGAAGAAGAAAAACCTGAGGTTGGAACCTTGTGATTTTATTCATTTTTATTGACTAGATGAAAATGTTGTTAAGAATAAAGAATATGTTTCTAAAACTTTTCCCCCATTTCTGCTTTGTTTTCCCTTCTAAAAGGAACGGATTCCAAGAGAAAGAAGGCAAAGACAGTCTGTAGTACAAAAGAAGCCCAAGTCTGAGGATTTAAGAACAGAATGCGCTACATGTAAGGGAACTGGAGACAATGAAAATCTAGTCAGGTAGGGCTAATGCTATGATCTTTTCCAAAGGAAATTAAAGTTCCACCTTCATCACTTTCTCATCATGGCTGTAATGAATGAACTCTTAAAGTAGATTTTTTAAAAAAGAATCTGATTTACGGGAAGCCATACCTCAGAAACAATGATTTGATCCACTTGCATCTACTAATTGACTTGCCACATATTTCCTCTGTGGATTTAAATGTAGTAGAGCTCTGTCTTTGTGTTTATCTGTCAATCTCATACATAAAAGAATTAATTCTCTGTCAGGTTGAGTTGCCAAGACTTTTAACAGGACATAAAAGATAAACAAGCGAGCCATCCTGTCTGTGTGCTACAGGATCTATTTTTGATTTTCTACTACAAAAGTTATATGTGAAGTTAGCTTTCACTTGCCAAAAAGTCCTACTCATGACTATAAACTAAACTATTTTATTCCAGTGCAATCTGAGGGATACCTTATGATGGTGTGTTTTCTAACTAGAAAGTATTACTGACAGCAGTAATAATCTGAACAATTAAGATATTAGAAGCAGTGCTGAGAGTGAAATTCTCTTGCATTTTTCTACTGATTCATATTCAAGAATTAGCTTTAGAAATCATTTCAAATGAGAGAATTTCTAAGCCATTCTCATAGATGAGGTGTTCTTGCACGAACTTAGTATGAGCAATTGTGGGGAGTCTAGGAAGGTAACAAGGAATTTTAGACACAAACAGTGAGAAAACAGGAGGGAAAATTTGTCAGTAGCTTACCTCATAAATATCAGCTCAACCCATGCTGCAGAGATTCAGTCTTTCAAAAAGACTCTACCTTTATAAACTCGCTAATAAATGAGGATTTGAAGCTACTATTACAGATTTTAAGATTCTGTGATTTACTCCTAATCCTTGTATTAGAAATAGTTTATTGAAGTCCTTAATCTTGCTTCCTTTATTATGCTGTGGTGTGAGGGGCTAGACATTTTGTTATTAAGTTACAGGTGCACATGAATATTCTGCTTTTCATTGTACAGTCATCTTTCCAGTGATATGCAGACTCCTTGGCTTACCACCCTGAAATTAAATCCAAAGTTATACACAATGAGGGAAGTGATGACTCTCCTACTTAGCTTTTTCAGCGATAGTCACTGCAAAGGGGAGTCCTTCCCTTAAAATATTTGAGAATTTCTCCTCCATCAGAAGTTTGAACAACTTGTTCACCCAGTTTCTTCCTCCCCCAGTTTTGATACAGAATTGTAAAAACCATTTGTACCTATCTCTAGACAGGAGGTATATTTTATGATTCAGATTTCAAATTTAAAAAATGTGATCAGGTAATGAATTGTAGTTGATATTTCTTAATTCCAAGTGAGTTGCCCTTGACTTATTGTCAGCTATGAAAAAGGAATGATTCGAGAAATTCTAATTGGCTTTAGTTGGAAAGAAAAATACATCAAAACCAAGTTTTTACTTCATTTGATAGTACGATGTTTTGAGAACCCTAGGGTAGGAAAAGTAGGGTATAAATTGAATTAATAATAATGTATATATGGGAAAAATATTCGTTTTTGATCATTATGTAAGCAAATATCCTTAATTTCATTAGGTTTTTTTTTTAATTAAAGTTTTAGTAATATTCCAGGTACTGGTACATGAAGGAATGTATCAAAAATTGAAAGCTGCTAGAGCCTGAGAAATAAGTGTGGGAAGGAGAATAAAGAACAAATTAATTCCAATGAGCTACACAAAGCCAAATGGCATTGCGGTGTTTGTCTCTATGATAATTCAGCATTTCAAATAATTTAGAATGACATTTTACTTGTGATTTTTTTAGCACCTCACATCTACCTCAGTATAATGAATGTTTAATTTCAAACTTGGAATCATGCTCATATTGAATATTGATGGTTTAGGGAGAGACTAAGAAAAATGCAGTATTGCGTTCAGAGGCAAAATTTCTCATATATGGTATCTGATTATTTATTGACAACAGAATATATTCTGAATTTACTTTTCTCAAGCCCTTTAGAAAATAACACGTGGTCCAGCTAAATATTTTTTATTTCTTCTGTAATGCTTGGCATTTCACTAGCAAGTTAATAGTAGGAGCCATCACCACATGCCTGTCCTTCTGCCCTTTCTTTGAAAGTATGATTTCCTGTTTGTAGCTGAACTGTTGTGGGATAATTTACTGTAGGTGCCTTGATAATAGCGGTGTGATTCTAGAAGTCTGCATTCGTGTTCTCTGAACTGTCTGCAAGGGTCTCAACAAGAAAATAGCATTGTTACAAGCCTGCAAGCTCGTGATAACTCCAAATTGTTTTTAGTGCATTTCTTCCAGCACAGTCTTCCAACAATTCCTAAAAGGATAAAGCAGGAAAAGAGTATTTTGTTTGGTTGGTTGTTCTGAGGAATCACTGCTTCTGTATATGCTTTTTAGATGCTAAAGCTTCAGTATTCATGCCAGTATAGCTGCCTGCCAGTATTTTATGTTGCACCTTGTTTTATATTGATAAGTTTGGTACAACATGTAAATCTAGCCTATCTTTTTGGTTTTTTATTTGAGATGCAGACCTTTTTCCAAGTTACTTAAAAACTTGTAGATGTTTTTGTTTTATCTGTGGACAATTTCATTCACAGATTTTATTTTCAAGCAGTCTTTGAATATCATTGCTGGTTAAGGCAAACACATTTATTTATTTATTTATGGCATGGCATGGCATGGCATGGCATGGCATGGCATGGCATGGCATTACAGGAATGTCTTTGGGAAACCAAGCAATAAGGATTCCAAGTATTAAGTTTATTTCTTTTGCCCGGCAGTCAAAAATATTTTCAATTCTATTAGTAGGGTACTTTTTTTTTGTTAAAAAATTGTTGTTTTTTTAAGGGTCATAGGAACTACTTCAGCTCCATCTTTCAATAGTGACTAGAAATATTATCGAGTGAAGTAAACTTGCTTCTCAGAGAAAGCTTATAGTTAAGATAATGTATACAATCAGCTGCAGTGCTTTACCCTTCCCTAGTTTATTGGAAAAATTAACATCACAATTGAAATTGCCTGCAGTATTTACTTCCAAAAATTTGGATATGGCTTTTATAATCTAAATGCTGGTTCCTTCTTTTTTAAAATTAATTTAAATATAATTTGCCAGTATGAGATAAAAATTGTACATTCCGTGCAAACTCTTATATTATGCTCTGTGCTCTGTAATCTAATTTTTTTTCCATTTATGGTTGTAAGTCCCTTGGCAACTGCCTGAAATGAAAGTAACTTTTCTTATGGATGAATTCACAGAATTCTCTTTAGCAAGATTTATTAAGAAGAAAAAGTAGTGGTACAAGAATTCCAGCAAGTGAACTAATAACCTCAGTGTACATTGGGACTGAGACTTTCTAACTCTTTTCCTCAAATCTTAGGAGGTGACTCCTTTCATTGATAATGGAGAAATCTGCAGCTGTTTATTTACATAATGGTTGCTTGTTTTACCACTTTGAGAACCAATTTTTTACCAAATATATTTTTGGTCAATATGTTTACTAGAACTATGATCAATATGGGAGGGTATCTAGCAATATATATCTAAAGTTTACATAGTTTGGGTATAGATGATACCCCAAGAATGGTTGAAATAAGTATGGTTAATGGTATTTATGACTTGAGGTGAAAGAAACATTCATCTTTGAGTTCAGCCTCTCCTGACTGGCACAGCGTGCTGAATTTTCTGCATATCCTCTAGATGTATTGGACCATAACACATATCTGGATTATAGAACATCTGTCTCCTGAAAATACTGCACTTTAAAGTCTCTAGTTCCCAAGGTGCAAATGAAGATGATAGTTATGGCACTTGGATCATATTATTACTGAGTTTTTACTTTTCCATGTGTTTAATGTAATCTCTATGACCTTTTCAAAATAATATGTATTTCCAAAATGCCATATGTAAAATTAAGAAAGATGCTATTGGTAATGTTCTGATTTTTATATATTTTTATTCAATTATTTCCCAGACTTCAGTCTGGACAATTTTTTTATAACATGCATATTTATTTAAAGTATTTCTATCTTTTATTTCAAGATACAAATATGTATCAGTTTGAGAATTATCTTTAAAATAGTTGTACTGTTTTTCTTATATTATTATAACTAAGATACCTGTCATAGATAGTATGTGATACATTTATGTTCAATTCTGCACTACTAAGATTGCACATGTACAGATAACTAGTAGGTGATTCTGATATTTTTACAGTATTCTTAGATATAGCATTAATTTGTTTTTAGTTTTATGTCATTGAACATTTATTCATCCATCAATACTAATTCTCCATCTGTCTTTAGCTCTTGCACACCCTCAAAATCTTCCAGTATACATTTTTCAAATTTATAAGGTCTCAAGTGAGAAGAGGAATTTGTCTTCTTTGAGCAGAAATTGCTTCCACCTATGGAAATATGTCATTGGAATCTGCCAAGTGTAGAAACTACTATTTCAGACTTATGTTAATTTATTTATTTATACACACACACACACCTGAAATACAGGTAGTCCCCTGGTTAAGAACATTCAGGTTACAGACGACCCATAGTCAAGAACAGAGCCCATTGTAGCAAAATTCGAGTTAAATACATAATGGTTCAAGTTAAATACATAGTGGTTCAAGTTCATTACACAATACTACTTATACAGTATTATACGTTAATACTGTTCCAGCTGACATACAAATTCGACTTAAGGGCAGGCCTTGGGAACAGATCTCATTCTTAAACTGGGGACTGCCTGTAGCTAGAAGTATTTTAGCACTCGTTAGAACTTTAGCAAAGCAAAATAAACATATTCTTTACAGTATCACAACTTTTTTTTCTTAAGACTTCTCAGTTTCAAAAATGAATTGCCAGGTGGGAAGGGAAGAATGTGGATGGGTTTCTATTTGAGAAACATATATCCAGAGAGCCATTGTATTCACACAACTAGTTAACTGATTCTTTAGATCCTGACCATGGTATTTTCTGAAAGTTT